TGTTTGCTGGACTGGCCTATGATTTCTGCCATAGCTTACTTATCCCAAATTACAATTCTCTGCTGTACGTAATGCCGTTTTTGCTGGTAAAATGACAGTGACTGCCTTATTTTTAAGGTCAACAAATTAAAGTGGCAAAAACAGGTTTTATCCAGGAACTACTGCGATAGGGGGAAAGAGACTTAACATAGAGCCAGGCTCAATTCAAACAGCATGGGCAAGAGCGCATTTGTTACCAAAGAGCAGGGTGAAGGGCAGTGGATGGAAGATTACTAACAGCGGACACCATGGGTAAGGCGGATTCTGGCTGACCTGAACCTAACTGGATTCTTTGCTGAAGACAAGCCAGGGCGATCAGACCTCACCTGGGGGATGGCAGAGGATGAGGAACCCAATCAATATCAAGAGTGCAGGATTCTGGTAAAATTGACTTCGGGGAGTTCTTGCTGAAAAACAGATTTTAGATGGGATGCCTGGGCAGCTCAGTCAGTTAAATGTCTGACTCTTGATTTCGGCTCAGGTCGTGATCTCAGGGTGGTAAGATCGAACCCTGCATTGGGGGCGGGGGGGTGGTCTGTGCTCAGCAGGGAGTCTGCCTCTCTCTTTCTCCCTCTCCCTTTCCCACTCAAGCTCGCTCTCTCTAAAATAAATAAATCTTGGGGGAAAAAAACAGATTTTAGGGCCCCCTGGGTGGCTCAGTCAGTTGAACATCCGACTTTTTAAAAAGATTTTTATTTATTTATTGAGAGAGAGAATGATAGAGAGCATGAGAGGGAGGAGGGTCAGAGGGAGAAGCAGACTCCCTGCTGAGCAGGGAGCCCGAGAGCATCCGACTCTTGATCTCAGCCTTGAGTTCAAGCCCTGTGTTGGGCTCCCCTTGGGTGTAGAGCCTACTTTAAAAACAAAACAAAAACAAAAACAGATCTTAGAAGGAAGTGTACAGATGGGCCTAGGAGAAGGTTCAGGAGCCTGACTACAGTTTGGTCAAGGAAAGAATCTTTGTCAACACACACACACGCATTTGATACCTGTAACTCAGGTATCAAAATAGGTTACCCACTATTAATACATCTAGCGTTAGGTTGCAGGGAGATGGAGGGGGGCTGTTACAAATACATGCAGGGGCACCTGGCTGGCTCTTTTGGTCGAGCGGGCAACTCTTGATCTCAGGATTGTGAGTTCAAGCCCTATGTTGGGTGTAGAGATAACTTAAAAAAAATAAACTCTTAAAAGTAGGGGCACCTGGGTGGCTCAGTCGGTTAAGCATCGGACTCTTGATTTTGGCTCAGGTCATGATCTCAGGGTTGTGAGAGCACACCCCGTGTTGGGCTCCGTGCTGGGCGTGGAACCTGGTTGAGATTTTCTCTCCCCCTCTGTCCCTCCCCCCGCTCCACCTCCCTCTCCCCCACATGCCTGCTCTCTCTCTCTCTCTCTAAAAATAACTGAATAAATAAAATCTTAAAAAGTAAGTAAGTAGGGGCGTCCGGGTGGCTCAGTTGTTAAGTGTCTGCCTTGGGCTCAGGTCATGGTCCCAGGGTCCTGGGATTGAGCCCAGCATTGGGCTCCCTGCTGGGTGGGAAGCCTGCTTCTCCCTCTCCCACTCCCCCTGCTTGTGTTCCCTCTCTCGCTGTGTCTCCCCCTCAAATAAATAAATGAAATCTTTAAATATAAAGGAAATAAGTAAATAAATGCATGTATGTTCATGTAGAAGCAAGAAAAGAAATGCTGGGAACTACCCTTTTCTATGCCTGTTTCTGGCTATAGCTGGGGTTTCTTGCTCCCACTGCCCATTCTGTATTCCCTTTGCCTTCAGCAAGCACCCCAGCGGTCCGGGTCACTTGTCCAGTGAGGTAACGCAAATCTCCATCCTGGAGGATCTAGGACAGGAGCACTTCTGACTGAAGGAGGGGGGTAGTTGGCATGAACTGTCCAGCTCCAGACACATTCCTCCCAGTCCCCAACACCGACAGGCTGATCACCCACGCTTGTTGTGCACTGGCACGAGATACCCACAGTGGCCAAGGGGGCGTCCTTGGAGAAAGCATGCTTCTCTTGGGAATGGAAACTTCTCAATTAGCAGAGCCTGAGTGTGTATGGGAAACACGTTCTTATCTGCTGGCGTCCCCGCCTGTAAATCCTGGCTAGGGGGCGAAGAGGCACCACTTTTTCTGTTACATTTTTATGGTTTCTAGCATCATTGTGCTGGATTCCAAGAACATAATCTGTACTTCGGCCTAGCCCAGCATGTGTGCACTTTTGTTCCATGTGTCCTTGGAAAGGATGTGTGTTCTGCACTTGGCACACTCTGCTCCATGGATGGCTGTGAGGCTGTCTCGTTCGGGTCCTCTCTAGCCTTTTTCACTCACAGCCCTCTTCTATCAGTTACTGGCAGAGATGTGTAAAAATCTGGTAGCACCCATGCATCTAGTAGGAGTCCCCAGGCTTGGCTTCCTGTGGCCCCACAGCTGGCGGTGGGCTTCCCCCAGGCAGGCCTGGCTTCAGACCAGTGGCATGGCTGAAGCAAAGGGCAGAAGGAGGTGCTGGATCTGCACCTGTGGAGAGGCGGGGAGGGGAGGCAGCTGCAGGCCGTCCCATAGGCTGGTGAGCACCAGGCGGGGGGCAGGGTCCTGCTCCGGGGAGCTCTGCGGGACAGGCTCCTGGCGCCCCCTGGTGGCCTCTTGCTTCATGTCAGCTACTTAGCCTCTGGAAGGCACTGAGGTCTCAGACAAGGAGACCCCGCTGTTGCCCCAGCCCCGGTTCTCCTCTGTCCCCGCGGATTGGCGGGTCTCTTCGTCTCCCTCCCTTTCACTTCCCTGCTCCAGGTACTCTGGGGAAACAGGCTCCTGCTGGCATTCTCAACATCGGTGCCTGAGAACACCAAACACTAAGGTCTCCTGGTACAATTTTGAAACTGACTCCAGGCTCTTCTCCACTTCACTCTTCTATGAACCGGATTTACCTCGAAATTCCTGCTGGCCCCTGGTTCCATCACACTGGGAAGAAACCAAGGATGAGGTGAGCTTCAGTCACTGTGAGGATCTGAGAGTCCTGGCTGTCTTGGGCAGGAGATAGGCTGTGGAGGGTGAGGGCTCAGGCACAACCTTTGTTGGGTGTGCTTGGGGTGCTTGTAAAGTGACTTTTAGGAAATATATAAATATGCCAGGTCTTACGATGTGAAAGTGTCACAGCGAGACATAGAGGACAACAGTCACCCTATCTTGGACCTGCTCTTATCTTCTCATTCTCCACTAACCGAAGTGTTGACCCTCACCCTAAACTTGGCCTTCTTCCCTGGTCCAGCTGCACCTGACACCTAGAATACAGCACAGGGCCGGGAAGGGCGCAGTGGGGGAATCTCGCCTCAGAATACCTGACCCTGGAGAAGGATGCCCCATGTTCAGCCCATGTTCTTTCTGTGGGTGGGAGATAGCTGCCCCCTGAAGGCCACCCTTCCGCTCTTCCCACCAGAGGAAGGCATATTTGGGAACATAGGGGTTCAGTGTGGCTGGAGCATGGAGGGCCTGGGTGAGGAGGAGGAGTCACATCAGGAAGGGCCTACAGGCTGGCTCAACACAGGTTTACATAGAAACCAACGGGGATGTTTGAGGAAGGGAGTGACCCCATCAGACTGAGAGAACGATCACTCCGGCTGCTGAAGGGAGTGGGCAGAGGGGAAGTCAGGCCAGTGGTGGGAGGCCAGGGGACGGGGCTGTGCAGTGGGCCAGCAGCGGATGGCAGCAGCCCCGGGTAGGAGCCATCAAATGACAGGAGAAGGTGGCATCAAGAGATTAAGGGCCAGACTTTTGGGGTGGGGATGAGTGAATGAGAAGGCAGAAGATGAGGTGGTATCTGGCTCTTGGCTTGAAATTGGCAAGTCTGGAGAAAAGAACAGATGATAGAGCGCTGAAAAGCATCCTGAATGGGCAGAACGGGCAGGAGTAAGTCTCATTCACACAGCACAGGCTCCAGTCCCCAGCCTGCTGTGGGACATGGTGGCAGGTCCCTCCCCTCCGGGGCTCAGTCAGGTAGAAAGGAAGATGGGCAGAGAGAGAGGCCTCTATCAGGGAACTCCAAGATGGGCCATCAGAAGGAGGGATAGGCCTTGGGTTTTATTTATAAGACCCACATAAATCGCCACCGGCCTCCAGGAAGGCAACTGGGGTTGCCCCCCAGCACGAGCCCAGGACAGCTCTTCACTTTTGAGGGTGCCTGTGGTCCTAGGAGAAGATCCATCCAGAACCACACAAGGTGCAGCTTCCTTTTCTGAAAGATGAGACAACGTGAAGATTACACACGTTATTAGCACATTATTACTTGGTTGCTTGTGACTCTCTCTCACTTCAGGGGTTCCAGGACCTGGAAGACCTAAGTGAGGTCCAGAGGGCAGAAACAGTGGTGCTTCCGGTGATCTCCAGGGAGAAGACGAAGCCTGGCTAATAAGTGAAAGACACTTCACTTGGAGAGCTCGTAAGAGCCTTTCATGTGTCTGCAAGTCGCCACCAGAAGGCGCTCTGGACCTCAGAGGGCAGGCACCCACCAGGGAGGAGGCCATGGACACTGGAGGGTCTTCAGCGGATGCCCCCCACCAGCATTCTGAGTGTTGTGCAAGTGTGTGGCCTGTGGTGGAGGATAGGTCCATGTCCTGACACCCCAATTCCACACTCACCAGGCAACCTTCTGATGTGGCATCCTGGGTTGTTAGATACTGAAGATGGGGTTCTCCCACAAGAAAAGGGCTTCTCGGGCGCCTGGGTGGCTCAGTTGGTTAAGCGACTGCCTTCGGCTCAGGTCATGATCCTGGAGTCCCGGGATCGAGTCCCACATCGGGCTCCCTGCTCGGCGGGGAGCCTGCTTCTCCCTCTGACCCTCCCGCCTCTCATGTGCTCTCTCATTCTCTCTCTCTCAAATAAATAAGTAAAAATCTTAAAAAAAAAAAAAAAAAAGAAAAGGGCTTCTCTCTCCCCACCCCCAGTAACTCTGTGCATTGGCATTCTGGCAAATGTGTGTATGTATGTGGAGATATATATATATATATATATATATATATATATATCCACCTTGTGTAATGTTGGCGGACGTCCACTTGTACAAGGGCTGAGCAACTCTGAGCGGACAGAGTACTTGGTTTTCACTTTATTCACTTGGCCTATGGTGACTAAATCACTTGCCACCTGAAAAGTCCTGGCAACAGCTGCCCAAGGCTGCACTATAACAGGCGAAATTGTTCTTTGCCACGGCTGCCGGGTAGGTCTGACACTAAAGCACCTCACTTCTGCTAAATCATGGCCTCCGTTTCCCCACCTGCCACAGGAGTGGCCAGAGTGACCATATTCTCTAATCTCTGCAATTGTGACAGTGCTTCTCCCCGCTACCACAGAGGAAGGGGGAGGGCTGACAAGGGGACCCACCTGGGACAGACAGGTGATGGGGATGGGGGTTATGAGATCAGGTTCCCTGCTGCTTGTCCAGATTACTGTACACATTCACTCAGGGAGTGTGGGATGGATCTGTGAGGTCTAATTCTTTGTTACATCTGGCAGTGTTTCCTAAAAAGTAAACCACAATATACTATTCCAAGTTATGCTGAAAGAACTTTGGGAGGAAGAACAGAAAAAGAAACATTTCAAGAAAACACTAATAGCGTACTAATCCTCTATGCCCCCAGTTTGCCATGCAGGTTTGTATTTCTATCTCCTCTGAGCTCCACAGGGCTGTGAGGTGGCATCATTCCTCCGGGTTAGAGCCAAGAGCACTGAAGCCACTTTAAGAGTGGGATCAGGGGCGCCTGGGTGGCTCAGTTGGTTAAGCGACTGCCTTCGGCTCGGGTCGTGATCCTGGAGTCCCGGGATCGAGTCCCGCATCGGGCTCCCTGCTCGGCAGGGAGTCTGCTTCTTCCTCTGACCCTCCTCCCTCTCATGCTCTCTGTTTCTCATTCTCTCTGTCTCAAATAAATAAAATCTTTAAAAAAAAAAAAAAAGTGGGATCAGGACAGAGCCTGGCACTGACAAAGGCGGGAAGGAGCAGGTGTGCCCAACGGCAGACCATCAGCCTCCCCAGAAATAATATTCCACACATGGTGAATAACTCCTAAAGATGGACATTAAATGAGCACGGCCTTTTTGGGTTAAATGAGTTCATCTGGGCGCCTGGGTGGCTCAGTCGTCAAGCGTCTGCCTTCGGCTCAGGTCATGATCCCAGGGTCCTGGATCGAGTCCCACATCGGGCTCCCTGCTCAGCGGGAACCTGCTTCTCCCTCTCCCACTCCCCCTGCTTGTGTTCCTGCTCTCGCTATCTCTCTCTCTGTCAAATAAATAAATAAAATCTTTTAAAAAAATAATAAATAAATAAATAAATGAGTTCATCTATATTAAAACAAGTATGAAGATAAATTATGCCTTACTCTATAAATTGTGATATGAGAACTTCTTGCATAAAAAAAAATTACAGAAAGAATCAGAAAATAAAATCCAACACTTTGCTGTTTGTAAGTTATACAGCAAAATATATACACAAATTTTAAAAATGCTGAGCAAAATCAACTCTCATGCAGATGCAAATTGAAAAAAGCAAGGGGCTTCAATTATGGTATCTGGAAAAGAAAAATTTAAGCTAGAAGAATTAAAAGAGGCAAAGGCACTAAAAGGCACAATTTTGCAATATATTACTATTAAATATATATGCTCCAAATATCCTGGTACTTACTTAATGATAACCCTGCCTATTTCTCAAAAAGGATTTGAGAAAAGTGCACGTCTAACATTACAACAACGAACATAAAATAGAAGCAAATTTAAGTGAAACAAAGTAAAAAACACAAAATCAGACTATGATTTGATCATGTCAATGAGTGTTCTTAACTATTTTGAGGCTCACAGAGCCTTTCCAAAATGTGGTGAATGCTACAGGCCCCCCAACCCCCAGCCCCGAACAATTCTTTCACGTATGTAACCACCCAGTTTTGTTCCATTCCTCTCTGCTGCCTCTAAAATAAACCTGTGCACCCACGGACTCCTAGGCAGTCTGCAGACCCAAGTTAAGAACTGTAAACAACAGAGAAAGTATGAATTTGAGTAACAAATAGAACTGATGGAGTACAAACCCATTTCTTGAGATTGACAAATGCTTTATAAAAATTGATCATATCTTCAGGCCCAGAGTAGGTTCCATGGACACTTAGAAATGTTGACACCACAGCACAGTAAGAAAGAACAGCAATGACCTATGCATTCATCACTTAGAAATATAGAAAAAAACAACCACCCTTGGGCCAAAAGGAAATTCCTCATATGGTAACAAAAACTTGCACATGTCAAACTGACAGAGTGCAGAAAAAGCTCTAAGAAAAAAGTCCTAGACCAAAGTACCTGCATTTACTAGAAACATTAAAAATATGATTAGCTATATCTAAATAATTTCAGAAATGTAAAATATGAAGTAAAAAAAAAAAAGGAGAATACATACACTTCGACAAAACCATTCGATTAGTCAACAAAACCAAGAGTTGGAGCTTTACAACACTCAACATCTACCATAAGAAGGAAAAAAATGTAAGACAAACATAAAACAACTAAATCCAAGGACGATTAAAATACTACCAGGATGTTCTCTTGTAATATTACACTGTTCAAGAACCTAAATAAATTGAAGGATTTAAAAATACATAAAACAGTAAAGGAATGTGAACAGAAGGTACTAGGTTCTGCTCACACTTTGAAAAGTACCTGGTCCTACCATGGTTTTGTGAGAATCTGTCAACCCTTCAGAAAGGGGGTCTCAATCCCCATGTTACATAAATTGTCGACAGGAAGGAGGAGATGGCGGGGGGGACCAGGAGGAGGAGAAAGTGCATATTCCAAAATGCAAGAATGGCATAAAATGAGGTAAAGGAAGCTGAGAGAGGAGGGAGCATCTGGGCAGGGTGGCGTGAACCCCCTGTGGTCTGTTCAGGAGCAAACCAGATTGGCTGAAATAGGGGCTTATGTGCAGAAAAGCCCCTGAGGGTTGGCTTTAAGGAGCATGGTGGCATGTGCAAAGAGATGCTTTAAGAAAATCAATTTGGCTAGGGCGTGCAGAAGCACACGGAGAGACATCAAAGGTAGGAAACCGATGACTGCCGGATAAGGACAGGCCTGGCCAAGGCGAGGCCGAATGGGGGGCCGGGGGGGTGCGAGGAGGTAGATCTTGGGGAGGGGGCTGCTCTCCCACCCACGCAGAGCAGGGGTCTCAATTCTCTCTGCACTCTTAGTAAGTGACTGAAGACCCGCAGTGCAGGCCACATGCAAGCAATCCCCAGGGCCAGCCAGTCAGGCCACTCTAGCTGGTGGTACGGTAGGTTCTAGGAGACCCGGGTGCTGGCTCAAGGTTTCACACATTCACGCAACAGAGAGGAGCTGGACAGGAATGGCTGCTGTCCTCATGGCTGGGACGTCCACTGTCATCCCCCCAGCTGGAGACCTGGCCTTTTAAAATCTCCAGCCTGCCAAGCTCCACTTGCTAAGTAACAATTACTTGTCCATTTTTATTCATCAAAACTATACATGAGCACCAAGCTGAGCTTCTGATTAGCTGAAATAGCCAGTGTTCCCATGATGCGGGTAATGGGATTCCAGCTATAAACTTTTGGAAAACTTCAGAATCGCTCAGCCTAGGGGCGCCTGGGTGGCTCAGTCGTTAAGCGTCTGCCTTCAGCTCAGGTCATGATCCCAGGGTCCTGGGATCGAGTCCCGCATCGGGTTCCCTGCTCGGCAGGAAGCCTGCTTCTCCCTCTCCCACTCCCCCTGCTTGTGTTCCTGCTCTCGCTATCTCTCTGTCAAATAAATAAAATCTTTAAAAAAAAAAGAATCGCTTAGCCTGCCTCGGAGGAGCCTGGGGGAAGGCAATACCCAAGAGATCCTGGTGGCCACACGAAGGCCTGAGGACCTGGGACAAACACCTCTCCACCAGCCAGACACGGCACAGCCTGAGCCCATTCCTGGCGGATGGGAGGCATGGGGACTGAGACAGAATGGCCACCTTCAAACTCTGCTCACGGCAAGCAGGCCTGATATTTGGGAGATGCTGGGGTTGCAAGATGCCTAGCATAGAGCTCACATCCTGGCTACCTACTGGAACATTCTAATCACCTGGGGAGCTTTAAAAACATACCACTGTCTGAGCCCCACCTCTGGGGATGCCGACTGAATTGGTCTAGGCAGGGAATAGGCAATGGTACTTTTTGAATAATGCCTGAGGAGAGAGGACAGAAGTACGGGGACGCAGACCACACTGCTTCTGGGGATAGGTTGAGGATGGCATCTGGAAAGGGTTCCTGTCTGGGAGGTGGCCCCACAGGGCATCCACAGCCCAGGATACAGACTGGAGGGAGTGAAGAAAAGCCTAAGCCCTGGTTCAACGAGAGGGTGGGCTGCAGGCCCTGCCATCCGGGGAACAGCAGGGATGCCTTTTGGGCCTTTAGGAAATAGATCTCTGGGTGGGGCAAGGGTCCCTCTGGGTCTCCATCCTCAACTGCCAGTTGCCAAAGCACTTCATGGGTGGTTTCATTCTGAACAGGAGTTGGCCAGGTCCCAATATCTCCATCTCATAGATAGGGAAACAGAGCGTTGGAGCTTCCTCAAGATCACACAAGTAGGAGGGGCAGACCTGGGATCTGAACTGGGACCTCTGACTGAATCGCCCTGCTTCCTAGGTCCCCCAGCACTGGAGAGCAGAGAGGTGGCTGAAGAGCCCCCAGACCAGAAACGGGCCCTGGGGCCAACCAAGGCACACTGTGGTCTTGGGAGCCCTAGGTCTTGTGGAGGAGTTATAACTGGAGGGCACTGATGCCTTATGCCAGGCTGAGTCAAAGCCAGGGTCAAATGTCCTCTGGCCTACAGGACCAAACCTCTACCGTCCTGTGAAGGCCATCTGCCAGAAACCACCCTTACTCTAACCCAGAACAGGGATTAAGAGACCATGCCAGGGGCTCACCACTCCCTTCCCCAACCCAGAATGAATCCTTCCAGACCCTCCCTCTCTTCTGTAACCTGTTTTGGTTGTCCCCACCAGTGCCCAAGCCAAATGGAAGATTCCATTTTGCTGTTAACATATCTACTTTCGGATTCATTTTTCTTTAGCAGATTCAGACTGTGAGCACAGTTCTGTCTTCTCAAAGTGCCAGACTGCAGTTGACGTTAGAGAGTTCATCTGATATTTTTGTGCGTTTAACTCAACTTTCTCCCTCTGGTGTTTATTCTTCTGGATTTTGACAAAGGCGAAGAGATGGCAAAACTCAATCTCACAGGCTTGGGAGTCAAATCAGAGGCCAGCTCTCTTTTTGGGCATGCCTCTTATTCAGCGGCCTTCCCATTACTCCACCCTCCCACTCAGTAAACCTGCTGCATGTGGGGCGCCCAGGGTGGGGGGGGCGCGAGGGGGCCTGGCTGCCAGCGTGGGTGGCCAGAAGCTCTGGGGGTGGCACATTTCCATTCGGCCCTGGGATCAGGGAGGTGGGTGGGGTCTTACAGACAAGGCGATGGGGTGTGGGTTCCATCTGGGAAAGGGTTTCAAGCTTTGGTGTGAGCTCCTCCTTCTAGAGCTTCTCCCCAGCATGGATTTTCTGATGCCGAATAAGATGTGAGCTTCCCCTGAAGGACTTGCCACATTTGTTACACTCATAGGGCTTCTCTCTGGTGTGGGTTTTATAGTGCTCAATAAGGGCTGACCTGTGCCGGAAGGCTTTGCCACACTCGTTGCATGCGTAGGGTTTCTTCCCGGTGTGGATTCTCTGGTGCTGAATCAGGGCAGAGCTGTGGCAGAAGGCCTTCCCACACTGGCCGCACTCATAGGGCTTCTCCCCAGTGTGGATGCGCTGGTGCTCGATGAGGGAGGAGCTCTGGCTGAAGGCTTTCCCACACTTATGGCATTTGTAGGGTTTTTCGCCGGTGTGAGTCTTGCGATGTTCAATGAGGTTGGAGCTCTGGCTGAAGGCCTTCCCACACTCTTCACATTTGTAAGGTTTCTTCCCAGTGTGAATCCTCTGGTGCCGAATGAGGTGGGACCTGTGACAAAAGGCTTTCCCACAGAGAGTGCATTCGTGAGGCTTCTTCAAGGTGTGGATTTTCCGATGCTGGCTCAGGCCAGAGCTCTGATTGAAGGATTTCCCACATTCCTTACACTGATAAGGTTTCTCTCCCGTGTGGATTCTCTCGTGTTTTCTGAGACTTGAGCTCCGGCTGAAATCTTTCCCGCATTCCCTACACTCATACGGTCTCTTCCCAGTGTGGGTTTTCTGGTGTTGTGTGAGGGCTGAGCTCTGACGAAAGGCCTTTCCGCATTCCCGACATTCGTAGGGCTTCTCCCCAGTGTGAATTATCTGATGTCTGAGAAGGTGTGAACTCTGGCTGAAGGCCTTCCCGCACTCACAGCACTCGTAGGGCTTCTCCCCAGTGTGAATCACCAGGTGCCTGAGAAGGTGTGAGCTCTGGCTGAAGGCCTTCCCGCATTCCCGACATGCATAGGGTTTTGCGGGTGGCGCAGTTCTGTGAGGTTCGTTAGGTCCTGAGTGTGCCCTGCTCGCCTTCTCACAACTGTGTTTATTGGGTTCCTCTCCACTGTGGGTTATCGGACACATACTAAGGTCTGATTTCTGCAAGAAGGTTGGGCTGAAGATTTCATCATCCTGGGATCTGTTTACTGGGGGGGTACTCTGATGCTGAACAGGGCTTGAGCACAGACTGAAATTGCCCTCATAATCATCATGTTCCTCGTCTTGCTCCCCGAGAGGGATCTCCTTATAAATAACAGCCATTTGCTCTAAACCTCTTTCCTGAAGAAAAGGGTCCCCCAGGTCCTCCTCTGGGAAGAGTTCTTGCTGCATCTCTAAGCTGTCCTCAAACACAAAGGTCTCACCAAACTTGGCTGCTGGGGGAACCTCCATTGTGACTCTAGTATCACCCCCCAATGACTGTAGTTCTTGAAAGATAGTCTTCTTAAGGACACACTTACTGTTCTCCCAATCTGAGAAGAAAACAAGGGATATTGTCAAATCAAGCACCTAGTATGTACCTCCTTCCTGTGCCAGAATCTTTCGTGGACAAGACAAAATAAGATACAAGCTTGCCCTTGAGATGATCCCCACTGAGTTAGGGACAAGTCTGATTGATCAGAAAAAACTACAAAGAAGAAAGACAGACAGAATCAAGTGCTACACCATGGGGTCTAGAATCTAAAGACTGAAGGTGCTCAGAGAGGTAGATGAGAGCAGGAGTGGGGCCATTGTGGAAAGGAGGCAAGATTCTGGCTAATGGAGGACCTTGGGGATGGGGGTTTTGGAGACAGCGCAAACTTCCCTCCTATACTAGGTTAGCTGCACCCCCTCCAGCCAGGTGCCCAAGCCACAACCCTGGGAGTCAGCCTAGACCTTCCCCCTCTCTCACCCCATACGCCTAGTCTGTCCATTTCCTGAGGCTTTATTAAGAGGCTTCTGCCTCTCTGTCAGTCCGCAGCCCAGGCCTCAGGGCAACTCCCCAGGATTACTTCCATACTCACCTCCCAAATGACCACTTGCCTCCAGCTTCTACTCCTCCCTCAGGTCTGTTGTCTACATCGACACCAGCGTCAAATACCCCAAACACAGGCCTGATCATCGGTCTCAGGATCTTGCAGCAGCCCAAATCCTTCCCAAAGCCCTTCACAGCACTAGCCCTTCCAGCCCCATCTCCAGCCTCTCCTTCCACACAGCCCTAAATGCTTCCTCCTCCTAACAGGTCCCCCTCTCTTCTCAGACTGCCACTGGATCATCTTCCCAGACTCAGTCCTAACGTCCCCTTTTCTGCATCCTAAGACTGGTGGTCTCAGGCACACCCCCTCAGTGCCTGCAGAGCTCAGTGCACGTGTGCAGCACGAGTGCTTCACCATCCTGGATGGCAAACATGGGCCCTCAGGACTCCTGCCACCACTGCCTGAGAGCTCCCTTCATTGTGGAGCCCCCAGCCCCAGCCCCCAGCACAACAGGACAATCTCCACACACACTGGTTGCATAAATACAAGACTGAATGGAGGAAAAGCCACTTGGTTTTGTGCTAGGACTGATGGCCACACTTTTTGGAGGGGAGGGGAGCACAGAACTCTTTATTCAAATAAATCGTCTCGGAGATATAAATAAATAAAAGACAAAAGCAGAGCTGCTCCAGTTAATGGGGGTTGTTTTCATAGGGACATGGACGGATCCTGGAACACCCCCCATCCCACTGTGGTGGCCTCTGAGGGAGCCCCTCAGGACCCCATTCAGAAATTGCCATGCAAGCTAAAGGGAAACCCCAGGTACCATGATAATGATAACCGTTCATGTTTATTGAGCATCTACTATGTGCTAGGCACTACTAGACCTTCTATAAGCACATTTGCATTTGATCCTCACAACTCTATACAAAGGTACTATTAGCAGTACACTGAAACACAGATAGTTAAGCAGCTCAAAAAACACACTAAGTTGGGGCGCCTGGGTGGCTCAGTCGTTAAGCGTCTGCCTTCGGCTCAGTCATGATCACAGGGTCCTGGGATTGAGCCCCGCATCAGGCTCCCTGCTCCGCGGGAAGCCTGCTTCTCCCTCTCCCACTCCCTCTGCTTGTGTTCCCTCTCTCACTGTGTCTCTCTCTGTCAAATAAATAAAGTAAAATAAAAACACACTAAGTTAATCAGCATAGTCACGATGGAACTCATTCCTACTTGGAAATGATTTTTTTTTTTATGAATTATAAGGCAGTAAAAAGGTCAGGTGTGAAAAGCACAGAACTGAAGTAGTCTCAAAAATTCTTTGACCACTTAACTCCCTTTCCCTCCCTCTTCAGCAACCATAATCTCCAGTCCTTCAGGTTCTCTAGATTGATCTCATCAGGTCTAACAACCCACCAATTTCGCCCTGGTTCTCTCTTCTAGTCCACCCTTCCCTGTCTAGCTTAGACTCTATCATGGATCGAACTATAGACTCTGACCAGCATCACGTTCCTCGCCTCCCTGCCCTGCAACCAGCTGCCAAATACCAACATTCTCCGTCAATTCCTCCTAAGATGTTAAATGTTGCCAAAGAAAATCATAGGACTGTGTACCGCACGGAGACAAATTTCAAGTTTCCAATTTCAGCTGGGACTTCAGCATCTTCAGCTCTTGCATCCAGTGACCTCCTTATGGCCAATCCCTCTCTTCTCAGCCCTCACTTTCCCACCCCTTTTGGCAGTGCTCACCAATAGCTCCCTTCTCAAAACCCTTCATTTCAGAAGTTGCAAATTGGCAGCCTGGGGATCCTGCCACAGACACGTTTTGTTTGGCTCGAAAAGAGTTGGAATCTTTTTTTTGTTTGACTTAGCTGCCAATATTGGAAACTCTGTGTTTCAGGCTTTCTCTTGAAAACCTGGAAGATGTGATAATACGGGTCCACCCCTTCATTAAACCCACCTTGCCTACCTGAACGCCTCAAGGTTTTGAACCCCCCAGCCCCCTTCCCACCTCCTGCTTTATTCCCTTCATTTCTGAAAGTTCTCTCCCTTACCCGCCGCCCCCCCCCCCCAGTTTTAATGCTCTCTGATCCCCTTTTCTTGGTATCTGTGATTGCAACTCTTCTTCCACCCACCTGTTAAATCCTGGTGTTTCCAAGTTTCCCTCCTTAGGGGTTTTCCATTCCCACTATGGACCGCCTATATGCTGAAGTCTCCACTCTGTTTAGAAAGTTGGCAATTCTTTATCTGTCCTCAACGTTTTAAATATTTTTGGACCGAAGATCCAAAGGTCAGGAACCCCACCTTCCCACCTCTCTTGGGGCCTCCTCGGCTCCTCCTGCATCCGTCACCCTTTGCTTCGGGGAGCCCTCAGGGCCTGGGCACCCCGGAGACCCTCGGTCCGTAGGGTTTCCTGGCTGGAAGCCTGCGAGCGGCTGCGGACACGCACACGCCGCCCGAGCGGCGATGCGGGAGCCCTACATGCTTCCCACCGATGAGGGACGCCCACACCCCAGGCCACCGGAGGGACAAGTGGTCAGACCGGCCGACGCCGAGCCACTCACCTGGGCCGGGGCGGGGCCGCTCACCTGGGCCGGGGCGGGGCCGCGGGCGGGCGGGGCGGGGCCGCACCTCAGCTGCTCCAACCCGCGGCCAACCCGGCCTCGCTCTGCGGCGGCTGCTGACGCGGAGCCCGCGGCGGCCCGAGCGCCCGGAGCCCCGCCCCCTAGCCCGCGGGCACTTCCGGGACCGCTCTAGGCCGCGTGGAGGTCCTCGCGTCTCGGTGCTCCTGCGGCGCCTGGTGTCGGCGCCCGTAGCCGCTCCTGCTCGCGGCGCCAGGACAGGGACTGGGCACCGGGCCTTTCCCAAAGCAAATCCTGGTCGTGGGCAACACATCTGGTCAGCCGTTGGCGGGAGTGAGGAAGAGGCAACTGAGGCTGGGAAGGGCGGGCGGGCCTAGAGCCGCAGGCAGGCGGCCGAGTTCCTGCGGCACTTGCCCTGCGGGTGGGGGCGAGCCAGTGGCCGCGGGGGGTGGGGTCTTCAGGAGAAGGGAAGGGGTTCCCAGAGCTGTGGAGTCCGTCACCCCGCACAGGCCCAGAGGTCCTGCATGATTCACCCTTCCTGGGTAGCCTCGGTCCTGCCTGCCCAGCTGGTATCAGCAGAAACAGAGATGAGAAGGGGCCAAGTGAGGGCCCAGGAGACTGCTGGGAGTGTAGGCTGGACCCTGGAGACCCCCAACTCCAGTGCATGTGAGGGATGACCTCGAGACATAAGGAACCGGGAAGGAAGAAGAGTGTGTTCTTGAGCCCCGCCCCCCCAACCCAGACGCTCGGCTCTGCTTCTAATAAGGATTGCTCTTCCACTCAGTGCTCCCCACTCGGCTCAGCTGCTCAGGTACAACCTTCCCTGCCTGTGGGAGAACTGGTGGGGGAGGGGGCACAGCCCTATCACGGGACCAGTAGAACACACATTCGTAACTGGAGAGATGCTGCCCACCTGAGCCGACCCGGCCTCGCTCCGCGGCGGAGTACCCTCCATCTAAGCCCTGGGGTGCCTCTGAGTGCCCCCACACCACATACATACTCACACCTGCCTTCCTGCCCCATCAAGGAGTAAGCAGGAGCTCCCCTCGGCCCCCAAGCTAGCAGCCTGGGCTCCATGAGGACCCTGTCCAGTCACCCCTTGAGCGTTGAACCACAACCAACCATGCAGAGCTAGGAGCAGCAAGAGCTGGTTCCTTTTTCTCTTCCTCCAGCTCCTCAGGTCACAGGAAGCCCAGGCCACCAGTCTAAGCCCCCTGGGGGCCAGTAGAGAGGCTGGGCCCTGCCCCAAGGGTCTCAGGTGCTTCCTCTTCTGTAACAATCCCCAGAATCCCTACCCCCACACTCCCAGTCACTTTTTCAGCAGGAATTTCATGGCCCTCCGCATAGTTATTGTTCACGTTTGATATTATTTTTTACAGATTTAATATTATTAACCCATTTTACAGAGGAGCAAAATCAAGATTTGAAGAAAGAGGGGGGCCCAAGGTCAGAGTGCAGAAATGAGAGGCAGACGAGAGGCACTCATCCCACACTCCACCCCTAGGATGTGTAACCCACAGAGCAGTAATAATCTGCGTCGTCCTCAGGCTGCACGGGGCTGATGGTCAGGATGCAGGCATTGTGGGCGGCGTCTGTGGCTGCCGAGAAGCGGTCAGGGATGTCAGGCGGCCGGTGGTAGTTGTCCTCTGAGCGGTAGTAGAGGAGATATCGGGGGGCACTCCCTGCCCGTTGCTGATACCAAGACACGCCGTGCTCCCCGACAGTGGCATGGCGGGGGCTGAGCATGCAGGAGAGTTGGGCCACCTGGCCTGGAAAGACCAGCAGTGCATCCGGCTGGGCCAAGCCTGGCTGAGAGACTGAGAGAGAGAAAGAGAGAGACCCATGGGCTCCTTTCTTCCTGTCCCCACCCCACGAAGGCTTGATCAGATTCCAAGGAGACTCTGACTCCCGAAAGCCTCATAGCCCAGTGCCTTGGAATTGAGAGGGATGGGGAACAAAGATGGCAACCCCTAAGTCCTCATTTGTTTTATGTTCGCAAGAATCTGTGTTCAGTTGAGCACCTAGAGTTCAGAGTATGGGGACTGGTGGCCTCTGGGTCCTTCTCTGCCCACCCCCGTTCCTTACCCTTCAGTCACACTGGCTCTTCCAGACTCTGGCTACCACCACCAGGAAGCCTCCTGGGCTGTCCCACCCATCAGCTCAACCTCAGACAACTGGCTGCTGAGAATCTTCTCAAGGAGAGTTTGTCCCTGAAGCCCTTGGGATAGCTTCCCATGTGAAAAACTAAAAAGGTGACTGACCACTTCCAATCTCTTCTGAGTCCCCAAAGAATCAGAACCTGAAGGGATCCTAACGATCTGGTCATTCACAAATGAGGAAACTGAGGCCCACACAGAGAAGTGACTTGCCCCAGGTCTAGGGCAGAGCCAGCTGTAGCCAGTTCTCCCCTCCACCTTAATGCCCCTTCTAGAACCCTCCCACTGCCCACATTGATTTGCTTCCTTGCAGGGGCCTTCTGGAGCCAGTGCCATCCCCCACCCCACCCCAGGTGAGCCAGGCCTAGGGGGAGCTCACCGGACAGGAGGGCCCCAGTCAGAAGGAGGGCCAGATGCCAGCAGGCCATGGCTAGAGGCAGGGAGGCAGACAGGAGTTGTTCTGTTGGGAGTGCTCCAGGTGCTTCAAGAGCACAGGCAGGGGAAGCCCCTGGACCATGACAAGGCATGCAAATCAACCCATTGACTAGGGGTGGGGGCATGGGGGTATAGTGGCTGGGGCCCAGCAGCTGGGCCCTATCTTCCCAAATGTCGGGATCCTGGCCCCACAGGGCCCTCTGAGAACAGGAGTCCAGAAATCCACACATACACATGCAGTTATAGCAGGTAGATGCTTTTTTATTGAGGTGTAACTCACGTAGGATAAGGTGCATAGATTTTAAGTGTATGGCTTAATGATTTTATTTATATGGAGATATATATATATATATCTCCACCCCCGCAACCTCTACCCAGATGACGATTTAGAATGTTTCCATCTCCCCAGAAGGCTCCCTCATGTGCCATCCCCATCAGTAACAGGCTCTCTAACCCCAAGAGTAACCATCATTCTGACTTCAATCACTTAGATCAATTTTGCTTGCTCTAGAACACCAACTCTAAGTGGAATGACAGTGTGTTCCTTTTGCTCCTGCTTCTTCTGTTCAACATTAGGAGAGTCATCCGTATGTGTGCAGCAATGTCTAATTCATTCTCGTACTTACATGTGGATAAACCACAGCGTATCCACAGCTTCTCCATTCTCCTGTGAATACACATTTGGGTGCTTTCCAGTCTTTAACCATTACAAATAAAACTGCTGTGAACATCCCTGTCAGTGTCTTTGGTGCACCTGCGTTCTCATTTCTTCCGGTAGACACCCAGGACTGGAGTTGCTGGGCGGAGGGAAAATGTACATTTAGCTTTAGTAGATACTACCAGTGTCCCATGGTTGTACCGATTTGCACTGCCACCAGGAGGTAGGAGAGGTCCAGAGATATCCTCGCCAACACTTGACATGGTCAGTCCCTTTAATCTGCCAGACGGGTGGAGGAGCTGACTTCCCAAGTTGGGGTTCGAACTTGACTCTCAGATCCTCCTCTTCTTAACTACACAACTTCAGCCGAGTTCCTTCCCCTCTCTGGAAAATGAAGATGAGCATAGTGCCAGCCCAAGGGGTGTGAAGAAGTAGGTGGGATTTATTTGCTCAGTGCCAGGCACAGTGCGTGTATTGATCATGCCTTGCATTTTCTGTATTTTGATGCTTTGACATCTGGGGCCTTGCGGACCTTGGAGGGACTGACCTTCCCAGGGCTACCCAGTTCCTAGAGATAGTAAATAACTCACCCAAGCGGGTATTTATCAAATGCAAACCAATCCAGAGCCCACATCCCCAACCACCTCCTCTATGGCTCTCATACTCTGGGCCACTGTACTCCTGCCTTAGTCACCCAGGGCCAGGTACCTGACAGCCAGGGACAGCCCCGATGCCCCAGAGCCCTGAAATTATTCAAACTAGCCACTCTGGAGCCTGCTCACTCTGCCTCACCTGTTCTTTCCCTCAGAAACCATAAAGCTCCCTCTCGCCCTCTGCCTGCTGACCTACCGGGTGCTTCCCCACGTGTCCCTCTGTGGTGCGGCATACCCCATCCCCTAGAGATCTGTGGGGAACAAACTGTCTTCTCAATGGCAATCTCTTGGTCTGCTGGCCTTAGCATACCTAAATAATAATAAAAGTAATTAAAACGGTGCGTTCTTATTAACTCAAAGCCTTGAGAGTTCCCTTGGGGGAGGTTATAAAGCCCCCCTCCAACGGGTCCCATTCTGTTTCTAACATCTCCCTAGGGCATCTCCAAAACACTCAAGATCAAAGACTCTGTTAAGGCAGCAGTGAAAATGAACCCTTGGGACAACAGTGATGGTTGTTGGAGCTGAGGCTCCAGGGCTCGGCATGGACATTTTTCTGGAATATGGTTGCAGCCCCTCCTGAGTTGTGCTCTGCAGGACACAGGGCCCCAGTGACAGTGGTGTCCTGGGAAGAAAGTGTCCTGTGTTTAAATAAATCTGCGAAACACTGCTTGTTCGCACAGTGCTGATTCTGAGCGCTTCCAGCATCCTGAGCACCAAGGTAGCACTTTAAAGTGTTACCACGTTTAAGGGGCACCTGGCTGGCTCAGTTGGTAAAGCATGCAACTCTTAATCTCAGGGTTCAAACCCCACACTGGGTGTGGAGTTTACTTAAAAAGAAAGAGAAAGAAAAAGAAAGAAAGAAAGAAAGTTACCACATTTAATCCTCACAAGGACTCTGCTGAGCCGTGTTCTTACCACCCCCCCAACCCCCCCAACCCCCCCGCTTTCTACAGGGGGAAGCACTGAGCTGAGTGCTTATCCAGAGGCAGAGTGTGATGCTCGGCAAGCTGCGCGGAGGATTCAGTCTTCCTCCTGAGTCAGTGGCCCAGAGGGCAGGACAAATAGCCTAATCACCCTGGTGGTGGGGGGGGGTGGGGGTGGGTGGTTGCATTTCCAAAACCTAGGGGAAAGGGAGCTGGCAAAGGTAGGAAGCCTGATCCAGACGCCTACCTGGCACCCTGGCTGAAGGGGTCTGGTAGGGGCTCATAGACAGGGGGTACAGGAGACAGAAACTGAGAGAGACAGAGGGGGTGCTAGGGGGAGGAAGGAAAGGAGATGGTGAAGAGAGAGAGAAAGGGAGAGAGAAAGTCAAAGAGAGGATGGACATGGATGGAGAGGCAGAGAAACACAATATCCTGTCTGCCAATGTCTATATGGCTTTGTTCATAATTGCAAAAAACTGGAAACAATCCAAACAATAGCAGGTGAATGGATCAACAAACTGGCACATCCAGACAATGGGACCCTCCTCAGCAGTAAGAAGGAATGAGCTATTGATTGAATCTCATGCTAAGTGAGAGAAACCAGACTCAAAAGGCTCCATGCTCTATGATTCCTTTTATATGATTCTGGAAAAGGCAGGGGCAGAACACAGAGCCATGGTGGCCAGGGACTGGCATGGACTACAAAGGGGCGTAAAGGAATTCTGGGGGGTGAGGGAGATGATCTGCTTCCCAACTGTGGTGGTGGCTCTATGAGATTTGTCAAAACTCGAAAACACGAAAAAGGGTGAATTTTACTGTATGTAAATCATACCTCAAGAAACTTGCCCAAACAAGGACAGAGGAAAGAGAGGGGAGGCTGGAGGTCAGGAGGAAGGCAGAGAGGGAGAGGAAAGACAGCACAGGGAAGAGGGCCTTAGTAGGTAGGGAACTGCAAGGGTGGTAAGAACCCCTGCTTCCGCCATGGCCACAGCCCTACCAGCTCATAGTGGGGGTTTTCCCAGGGCCAGGGGCCCTGATCCAGGAATCTCCCCCCTTTCAGCCTGGGAGCTCTGTCTCTACTGGTGGGGGGATGTGGTCTTGGGCTTGGGCCATCCCTGGACCACAAGGCTTGAGCCCCCACTGTAGCCCTGCCTTAGGGAGTGCCCATACTCCCGCCCCAGATCCTGTTACCAGGATACTGCAGGGGAAAGCATTTCCTGCCTAGATGACTTGGCAGCTCCCACTGCCATGGAGACCAGCTTGGAAGCTGGGAGGGCCTCAGTCTCCTTGGGCTGCTCTGACCCACAGGCGGGAGGAAGAGGAAGCCAAAGGGACCCCTCTACACCGGTGGGGTCCAGCCCCAAGGGTAGCCAAGCAAGGACCTAAGCCCGGATCCACCCACCCATTCCCACACACATACACATTTCCTGGCAGTGCCATCCCTCCCTGAATAGATCTCAGCCGTAGATCCTTCCTTAGTTGGAAAGTTGGGGGTTAGGGGATCAAAGCCCCCACATCTGTCTCCTCTCCCCTGCAGCCATGTTTATCAAAGTGATGTTTGGAGGTAAGTGGGGTCCCCTGTCCCTCAGATGGGTAGGGGGGTGGTACATTCAGAAGCTTGCTTCCCTTTGCCCTGGGGAGATTGGGGAGGCAGTGTGGGGAAGAGGGATGCACTTGCATAAGAGGATGGGGGTGGTTAGGGAAACAGCTCTGTGAAGAAGCAGACAGAATGCTTGGAATCCCTTGAGGGGCAACCCTGATGGCTGGGTCCTGGGAAGTTCCCACGGGCTCCTCTAGAAGAGCACCCACCACATCACCATGGGGTGTGTTTTTAAATTACACAATCTCTTAATTCGGTCAGTGGTCCTCAAGCTTCAGGGTACATCAGGCGCAGATTTCCTGACTTCTGGTGGCAGGTGGGCCCGGGATGGGAGGTGGGGGTTCCAGTGCTGGAGGGAGGTCTTGTGCAGAGGCAGCGTTGGAGTGGGAGGGGGGCATCCAGTGCAGGAGGCAAGAGCTGTGTGCCCTGGTCACCAGCATCTCAAGAGATGGATGGAGGAGTGTACAGTCTTAATCCTGGAGTCCTATTCCCTGCTCTGGTTAGAGAAGAGATGGGAGACAGATGGTCCCAGATCGGGGGGAAGCAGAGGGTACCATTTGCTCACCTCTGCCCCGCCCCTACAGCTGGCTGCTGGGAGCTGGTGAACACTTGGTGCAGCCCGGTGACCCTCACCGCCCACTTGAGGCAGAGGGGGCAGGTGCCCCCAGATGGTGAGGGGGCAGGGAGGGGTGCTGGGGAGGAGGGGCCGAGGGCTCTCCAGGCAGAGGTACCAGCCCTGCCTTCCCTCCCTCTCTGCCTTCCCAGCGGTCATTGCCCTCCTGGCTGAGGATGGGCACTTTGTGAGTCTGGATGAGGGACTGGAGGAAGGGGCTTCCCAGGCCCCTTCCATGGGCAGTGCCCTGCTGCAGGAGCGTGGGACCTATGTCCTCGTGCAGATCATCAGTAAGTGGGGCCCAAGATTTCCCCCTGGAGTTATGCTGGAATGTGAGAGGGGGGCAGCAGTTCCAGAGACCACCCAAGGCCCTGGCCAGCACCCCCTACTTTGGCCAGGACCTAGCCCCTGACCCTTCCCATCCAATGCCTTGTTGGCCCCAGCCAGGACCAGCAAACAGGTCCAGAGTGAGAGGTGGAGGTGGGGACCAGCAGGACAGTCAGGAATTGGTCTTCCTCCCTCCACAGAAGGGGAGGGTGGGGCCCCCACCCGCTATGAGTCCCTCCTGGAGAACCTGGATGACCAGTATCCAGAGCTAGCAGGTGAGTGTCACGGTTGAGCCCCAGGGGGAGGGTGCACCTTCTCCCCAGCACCCATAGGTAGGGCTTCCTGGGCCTTCCAGAGGAGCTTCGCTACCTGTCAGGCCTATATCCCATGAGTGATGGCCGGAAGAAGCGCACAAGCACTCGGCGTGGCCACCAGGAGCAAGGCCCCTCTTCAAGGCCACGAAGGATGGGCTCCCTGCCATCCAGGATCCGCTAGCTGGGGCCAGAAGCCAGCCAGGTAAGGAGGAGACATGGATACCTGGGGGGATGCTCACACCTAAAAGTCCCAGGGGACAGGCTATGTGTGCTGATACACCACAAACACCACCCCCACACCCTGCAAACACATATACACATAAATACCCACAAGGTGGAACACACTGCATGAAGAGACATCCCCACCACTCCACTAGACGGTAAGTAACCAAGGGCAGGGACGTCCTCAGTGCCCTGGAGATATTGAATAGAGCCTGGCACACAGTAGGTGCTCAATGCAGAGCTGAACTCAATGAAGGCAGCAGCCCAGAGCACATGATAGTGAGGTCTGCCTTGGGTTTGAAGGGCCTGCTTGTCTATTCCGGCAGGTCCTGTGATCTGGCACATCACAGCCAAGTGGCTGAGCTGGACTCTGATCCAAGGGGGTTGGCTGTGACCTCTGCCGTGTGTGATCAGGCCCAAACAGCAGCCCAGGGGCATTCTTCTTGCAGAATCTGGACTTACTGAGAAGTTGCATCAGCCCGAGGGGCAAGGTCACAGACCGGATGTGAGGCCACCAAGGGGGGCCCCCCAAGATGTGGGTGCAGAGAAAGGGATCCAGAGGCAGAGACAAGGAGGGTGAAGGAGGAAGCATCCCTGAGAGCAGGAGGCAACAAACAGGCTCGTCCTGGGATTCCAGTTCCCAGAGTCAGATGCCTTTGGGGTCCCTACTAATGCCTCACTCCTAACTGGACTGTCCAAGGTCATCAGATTACGACAGGGCTCCTCCCCCTCCCCCACCCAGATGTCATCTTAAGGTGAAGGAATTGCACCTCACAGTTGGGACATTCATCCGTGCTCCTTGACCCCACCCCAGCAGACAGGCTAGTGAGAGGGCACACAGCAGGCTATGGTCTAAAATAAACTCTTTTAATTGCACATTTGCGTCTCCGGTCATCTGTGGGGTAAGAAACCTCCTCCTCACTCCCAATCCCAGCTACATGGGTACAATCTGATGTCATGGTCCGGCTGTCGGTGAAGGGGTGAAGGTGGGTGCAGGGCTGGCTCACGGATCTGCACCAGTCCGCACCTGTCTCTTCAGGGCAGGGAGCTCAGACCTGCGGAGAGAGGAGTGGCACAGGCTGGTGGTCAGCCTGCAGGTGCAGGATGAGGGGCTGTCCCTCCCACTCCTGCCTGGGTCAGGGGCTGCTCACTCACCGTGGTTGTACTTGCACTGTTTCAGGGCCTCGCTGAAGCCCTCACACAGGGACAGGTCACTCTGAGAGGTGGAGCAGTCCAGGAACTGCTTGATCTCGTAGGCGCAGGGCCCCATCTGCAGGGGCTGGGGGCCAGTGCGGGTGGGAGCCTGGCGTATGTTAGAGGACGCAGCAATGTCAGCTCCAGGCTGGCACCCGAAAGTGGGCTCCAAAGCCGGGGGCTGCCGGCCGCTCCCCACCCCCCCAGCCCAGGTGCCCCTGGGATCCCTGGCAGGCTGACGGACTCAGACTGGCCTGCCCTGTCTAGCCCCAGCTGCTCCATCTGTGAAACAGAAGCAGCCCACAGCCCTGTCAAACCCACTCAGCTTATGCTAGTGCCGGTATGGACAGCATTTCCCAATTGCCTCATAATGGGCTCGCTGAGCAAGTAGGGCCTGAGGGAGGGAAAAGACTCTAGAAAAGCAAGGTGCTGTGGTTGTACTCTTGGAGTATAAGCCCCACCTCCACAAGTACTAGCAGCTTCCAGGCTCAGCCACAGCGATCCTCATGATCCCTGACCCTGCCACTAAGCCGCATTTGGCTCAGGACTGGTGGGGTGCCCAGTAGGGGAGAGGTGAGCAGGAAGTGGGCTCAGAGCTGCTGGCTACCCCCTTGCCCTTGGGATGCAGGGACTGTAGGGCAGAACCTGGGAATGGGACGAACAGGGCCTCAGAACTTCAACATCTCTCCCCTCCACTAGGGTTAGGTTACCTTGGGCCAGTCTCTGAACCGCTAAGGGCTTTGGTTTCCCCATTTTTAAAGGTCTGCTTGGTCCCTGGGAGTCTAGGGACCTTGGCCTCAGGAAAGGGGCTAGGAGAGCCTGCCTGTGAGTGACAGGAGGCCAAAAGCAGAGTGAGGAATATGAGTCCTGGGCCTGAGGCAACTCTGAACACGCCAGGGCACTTCTCACTGGACATTCCAGTAGCACCCTACTACATGACCCTTGTGGGAAGTCGGCCTCAGTTTCTCCTGAGCCCGCTGCTCACCTGCTGAGCGGCAGGCTGGGCGGGCTCTGAGCTCCCCCCGCTGAAGGCTCCGGTCAGGGCGCTACCCACGACGTGTCCCACAGCCGAGCCCACGGCCATCCCAGCAGCCGTGGACGCCATCTGCGCCATCAAGCCGGGCTGGCCCGACGGGGCCGGGGCCGCTGCAGCCGCCGAGGGCGGCGGGTGCGCGGGCGGGTGAACAGTGCGGCTGCGGGGTGGGGGGGGAAGTAGGGTTAATCCCGGCCGGACCCCTGAACTGGGGCCCCAGGGGCCTGCAGCTCCCGGACACGAACCCCGTCCTCCTCTTCCGTCCCAAGGGTGGGCGACCACAGTCCTAGACACGTGGTTGCGGCACCCCCGCCCCTCCCCCCACCAAGATGGCGCAGCAGCCGCCAAGGTCAAGCTATCGCGCCCTTGCAGGGGAGCGCCCGCGCTTCCCTAGCCGCCCCCCCCGCCCCTGTCCCGCTCACACCTGGCTGGCCGGGCGGCCGCGCTTCGGCTCCCCCGGGGCATGGTTGTGGCGGTGAGACTCGGCCAAGCGCAGGCGGAGACGGCGACAGTAGCAGCGGTTCTGTCTCGGGGACGAACGGGGCACCGCTAAACACCGCCGCCGCAAGGGGGCGGGGCCTAGGGGACACGCCTCCAGAGGGAGTCCCTGGGCGTCCGGCAGCCCTCACCTTCACCTCCGGGACCCGTCCCTTACAGCATCACCTCGTCTCAGTGCCCTTCTTAGCTGGCAGTGTTACCCTGCGGCCTCCCCGCGCCTGGCCCCAGCTGTGTGGGCCCTGGGGACACGGACCAATGGTGCAAAGTGCCGAGGGCTTACGCCGGGGCGTTGGGCCAAGTCCCTTCAAAAACCACCGCGGGGCGCAGGGAGTGGAGTTGGTTTGCTGTCCGAGAGCCAGGGCAGAAATAGACAGGGAGGCGACCGATTGAAGCCAGCAAGGGAGGGGCACGAGGCGCCAGGCCAGGCTCTGGTCCCCCTCCTACGGACTGGGTTTACCGACTACGACTTGGCCTCAGGGTCGCGGGCCGGGGGTGGAGGAGTGTGGAGGAATAGAGCTGGGAAGAAATACCCAGAGGAAGGCCTGGCGCGACCCGTACCCAGAACCCCCGCCAGGGGGCGTCCGGAGCCTCTCTTCGACTCCATCCCGGTTCAAAGGCGCTGCAACCCCGGGAAGCCTTGCGCAGCACCCTCCTGGGGTGGGATGAACCCCTCCTCCCCATGCGGCCCAGCACCCCGCCTGACACCCTACCCCGCAAAACGGATGCAGCGCCGGACAGTGACAGCGTTTACGGGACATACAAGCAGCATGCCCATTCCAAAGGTGCCCAGAGGCGTTTGCGCAGGTTTGAATCCTGTGGCCTCGCAATTTTACCACCTTGGTTCCAGGCCAAGGGAAGGGCGGAGGCATGGATTTAGGACGCTTCCCAACCCTTCAGGATCTTGAGGTTTATGTTTTTTTCTGAGTGATTTCTCGGTGACCGTATCATTACCCTTGGGCTGGGAGGAGCTCTGATTTCTTTACCCTTCCCTATCACCGTCCCCCGTGCGGGAGGGTTGGTGGGGGGAGGGAGGGCTTGTGGCACCAGGATTGTAGGGAGGATGAAATCACCCCAAGCAAAAGTGAGTCACTTTAAAGAAACAGATTGCTAACACTGCAGGTGGGTCTTGTGTCTCCTCTCCTGGCCCTCTAGGAGTCTCTGTGGAGCCTTCCTGGAGAGGCTATGAGGACTCCCTGGACTGGGACCTGGAGGGAAGAGCTGAGTGGGTCTGATTGCCCTCCTGTCCCTCTTGGACTCCTTCCCTTATTCGGCCCAGGCTGGGTGCCCACAGCCTCACCTTGCAGCTTCTCAGGACCCTGCCTGGCAGGATGGGAGCCACTACCTGGATCTGGGCTCTACACGGTTGCCCATGATGGAGCAGACGGCCCTGGTGAAGTGATGATGCCCCAGGTCATGAGAGTGGAAGATCCCTTCCAGAATATGGACACCACCCTCTCCTTTGATTTTTACCTCCTCTCTCTCAGTTCTCAGGAGGCTGGCCCCGAGGGCCCCTGTGGAGCACGTTAGTCTCTTGGGCAGCCGGTGCGTCCCCCCCACCTGCCACAGCCTGCTGATAGCACCTTCCCTCCCAACCCCCTCCACTTGCCGGCTGGTCTGGGAAAGACTGATCTGGTCCCTTCCTCTTGGGCCCTCAGTTTTCCCATTTATAAATTGTCTGTAGTTCTCTTCTAGGCTGGGGGGCTGGCCAGCCTCCTCGTTATGCCTCAATTTCCCTTGGGACACATCCCTTGTCTCAGCTATTGTACCAGCTAAGGCTGTAAGGGGTAGGAGAACTTGCCCATGGGAACAACCACCTGTCAAAGGCTAGCAGTAGGTCAGAGGTCAGGCCATCAGGGAGACCAGCTAGGGAAAGCCTTCCAAAGGTGGGAGTAGGGACCAGGAGGGGTGAAACCCAACTTCTCCAAGACTCCCCAAAGCACAGCGGGAAACTGAGGCACGGAGGAGCAGCAGCTAGCCTGGGTCACCCCGCACCAGGCCTCAGAGACGTCAGGCTCCGCCGGACCCCGGGAAGGACTGGGTCTCGGCCCCCGGCCCCAGCCGTGCCAGCCCCTCCCCGTCCACCTCCCCCACCCTGGCCGTGGCCACCGCGGGGAGAGTTTAGAACAAAAGGCGCGAGGGGCGGGACCGGGGCGGGCCAGGGGCGGGGCGGAGGCTATAAGGGGCGGTGGCCCGGCGCGGCCCAGCAGGCCCAGCAGCCCCGGGGCGGATGGCTCGGGCCGCCCGGCTCCGCGGCGCGGTCCTGCGCGCCCTCCTGCTCCCACTGGCGCTGTTGCTGCTCCCGCCGCCGCCGCTGCTGGCCTGGGCCCCGCGGCCCCCGGTGAGTGCCCGCCGCCGGTCGACCGCTGCTCGCCGAGGGGGTGTCGGGCACGCGGGCTGGGCCCAGTGGCCGAGCTGGACCCACGGGGGCGCCCGGGGTGGCCTGGAGTGGCCCGTTCCCCGAAACGCTTTCTGGGTCCCTGTGGACGTGAAAGATAGTGAGCTTCCCGTCCCCGGAGGTGTGTAAGTGGAGCCTGCGCCTGGATCGCTCAGGCTGGTGAGGCGGGACTCCGCGCTAGACGCACGCCCCCTCCCAGCGTGGGGACCTGCTCCTCGGCGTCCCAGCTGCAGATGCTGGGCTGTGTGCGGCGCCAGGTAGCAGAGGGAGTGGTTGCAGGGCCTCCTATTCATTCCGGGGACAAAGCCTCAGGCTGGTGTCAGCCTCCAGGTGTGTGGCCTCAGTGAGCACACCTCCAGGCGTGCAGTGAGCTGGAGGATTAAGGAAGAGCTGAGAGGGCAGCACTGCGCTGGGACAAATGGGGTCTGAGCCCAGAGGAGGTGGCAAAACCTGGGCACCTACAAGTGGCAAGTTTGGGAAGTGTGCAGCCAGGACAGCATGAGTGTGAGAGCTACGGGGAGGGTGTATGTGTGTGCATGTGTGTGCGTGTATGTGTGCCAGAGAAAGAAAGAAAGAAGAGCCGAGAGTGGGCAGCAGAGACCCTCAGAAAGGAAGAGGGTGGGGAGAGAAAGGGAAGAAAGAAGAATGTGTGATCAGGAGAGAAGACAGTCTGGGTGAGAGGGCAGCAGAGTGACTAGAGGAAAGGCAGGCACGGGGTGTTGTGTGATGGCCTGTGTGTGCCCAGCTGGGGCCTCGAGGAACCACTCACGAGGGTGGCCAGGCAGAGCCCGGGCAACCGCAGGCCCACAGGCCCCTTGGACCTTGGCTGTGGCATCCAGACAGCTCAGGCTAGGATGGGAGCATTAGGAGGTGCGACAGGCAAGAGTCCTAGGATGGTGAGGAGGGATCTCTGACCAGCTGGGCCCCCTCTGTCCAGTCACACCAGCCTTGCCCCACCCTGGCCAGCCTTGCCCCATCCTGGCTGTGGGAGCAGAAGAGGATAGGATGGGTGGGTTAGGGAAGGGGGGGCACCTCAGTCCGGAGGCTTTGCCTCTTCCCCAACTCCTCCCAGTCCCCTTGAACTTGGGGCAGAGTCCAGAATCCCCGTGGGTAGCCAGTTGACCCCCTGGGTTCAGGAATTGGAGATCTGGGTTTGAACCACGTGCCCTAGCTGAGTCCTTTTGTGTCTTAGGACCCCACCCCTCAGTCTTGGGGGGGGGTGGATAACAGTGCCCACTGCTGGGCACTGAGGATTAAATGAGGTCATGGGAGGAGAGGGCACAGCCAGTCAAACCAGACACACACTGTCACCTGTGACTGCCACTTTGATGCTCGTGCAGGGTCAGTTGGGGCCGGGTCTGAGCTAGGCTGTTGTCTGTCACTCTGAAGATATGCAGGGAGCATTTGGGGTCGCCTTCGCCGTGTTTATCCCCAGGCTGCCATCCGCAGGGCCAGGAAAGCTCTGTAAATATTTATCCATCCCAGTTCACAGCTTTCAGGACTGATGAAAGCCCTGCAGCCTGGTGGGACCGATGCTGCGTTCCCTCCTGGAGCCAGCAGGGGAGGGGGGCAGTGGATGGACCTGCCTGTTGCCTAGTGCATGGCTTGGGCAGGTTGCTTGACTTCTCTGAGCCTCAGAGGGGCGTGGTGCTCCACAGAACGGTGCGGTGATGCTCCCCATTCTTTCTCACCGCCTTACAAAGTGCCCTCCCATCAGGGTCGCCTCCTGCTGACTAGAGGGCAGAGCTGTTACTAATTATCCCCGATGGACCAATAGCAAACTGAGGCTCAGACTAGCCTGGCCTTACCCAGCAGTTTTCTGGTTTGGGGTCCTTTATCTCCCCTCTGTGGGGTGCCTCCCATTTCCTAGATTGGAAGTTGACCCAGGCGCTGACCCCAAGCCTCTAGTTCAGCCAGGAGACGGAGTCAGCTGAGAAGTTCCTCAAGTATGTTTGAGGCTGTGGTTTGGTGCCCCCAAGAAGAAGGTGGGGTGAGTGAGCTCAGTGCCCACCACAGGGCAGGCCAGGGGAAGCTCCTGTCTGAGGAGGAGGAAAAGGGAAGGCATCGGAAAAAGAAACACTTCTCAGGAATGTGGGTTTTGGAGATAGGCCAAGAGTTGAAGAGGTGGGGGGAGGGGGGCACTATTGGGGGGAAGGGAGGCACGAGCCCCAGGTCTAGGCCCAGCTCTTCTCTGACATGCTGTGTGACCCTGGGCAGTCCTTGACCTCTCTGGGCTCTGTTTCTTCCTCTGAGAAATGTGGTGGTGCCTGCTCCCCAGCCCTCCCAGGGCTACAGATGAGGCCAGGCATGGTCTGTGCCCACCACCTCATCTCACTGAATCCCAGAAGCCTTGGGAGGATGAAGCACACCTTAGGGATCAGCACGGGGCTTTGTGCCAGGCCTTGCAGTTAAGGTGCCTGACCCCAGGCCAGAAAAGACTCAGACAGACGAAGTGTGGGAGGTCTGCAGGGCAGGGAGCATGTGTCCCATTCCAGTAATGGGGAAACTGAGGCCAAGAGCCATTAAATGATGGGCTCCAAACACCCAATATTTGAAAGGTGACCTTGATTCTAACGCCTCCTGCTCACTCACTCCAAGACCAGTGAATGTGACATGGACAATGAGCCTGAGCCTCTGGCTTTGGGGGAGACCCTGCACCAGTCCCTCTTCTCTCGGCCTGCAAGCTCCCTGCTGCTAGCTGCAATTCTGTTTATGACTTAGTCTGGGAACTTTGGCAGGGCTGGCCCCCAGGCGAGCGCTGGGAGCTGTAGCACAGTTGACAAGAGCAGATTTCTGGGTGTGGGAGGGGAGGGCCCACAGGGGCAAGGAGCTGGGCCAGGGAAGAGGCTGCAGTAGGCAGGAGAGGAGGTTATTTAAAGCCCTCTGCTATGGTGCCATCCCCATTGGACAGAGATGTCAAAGCTAAAAAAGGGAAGGGACTTGCCCAGGGTCCTTCCCTCCAGGGTGACCGTGGCATAGGACTGGGGCCTCTGAATCTCAGACTGTGGCTCTTTCTGTTGGACTGGGAGAGTACTATGCTCCAGGGGTCTGGGCATGGACCTAGAGCTTCATGCGGGCAGGAGAGGAAGGGATGGTGTGTGTGTCCATTACCCACCCTCCCTCCATGGCCGGCTGCTCCAGGCCTCACTGGAGGGCAGAGGAGATGAGAGAATTCTGCACAGAGGTGTGAATAGAGCTGGTAGGCTGGGCCCTGGGCTGTCTGGGGCTCCCAGGGGACAGCCCAGTCCTGCCCTTTCCAGGGTTGGGTGAAGGAATCTGTTCATCCAGGAAGTCAAGGGGGCAGTGTGGGGAGGAGAAGGGGCAGGCTCTCATGGCTAGGCACACAGACCTGGGGTCCACATCCTCAATGTGAGACCTCGCTTATGTAACTTCCCCACCGTACTGGGGGTGTGGGGATGGAAGTTCAATGAGCTGACAGAGTGCCTGGGAAGTAGCAGGTGCTTAATAATTTCCCATTCCTTCTCTTCTGTCACCAAGGTGAGGCCAGCCTGGATCCCTCCTCCAGGGGAAGGGTGGCTCCAGCCTGAAGAGCACAGCAGAGGTAGCAGGTAGGGAGTGGGTTGTGAGCACAGAGAGCCTACCACCTGCCAGTTGTTACCTGGGCAAGTTGCTTAACTTCTTTGGGCTCTGTTTTCTCATCTGAGAAATGGGGGATGATGACAATGGAGTTAGTGAGAGATCCCATCAGGGGCTAAGAGCATGTCTGTGGAACTGTTGGTAGGGTCCTAGCCTAGATAAAGGTGAACCACAAGTGATAAGTACTTAACTAGCAGTAAGTCCAGTGTTGACCGGAACCTATAAGCCAGTGAGGCTGGGCTCTGCCAGATAACTAACCAAGCTCTGAAATTAGAAAGCTGGTCCAGGCTTCTTCTCATACCCCAGGTAGCTGTGTCCCTGGGTGTTGAGAAGACCCCTTCCTAGTGGGCTATTCTTGGGGTTGAGTTTGGGTGGCCCTGGGAGGTTGAGTTATTGGTGGCTCCAGAATTGGGAGATGGGGGGTGCTGGGACAGTGATCAGAGTCCTGGGATGCCTAGGGCCTGGGAGAGCTGCCAGAGGCTAACGGTGAGGGTGGAGCCTGCGTGGCCTGGCTCCCACCCCAAATATGGCTATGGGGAGGCCCCAGCCACCCAGACCAGCCAGCCCCAGACCAGACAGGCACTTAGTCTCTAACAAATAGCATGGCTCCATGCCTCTCCAGCTTTGCGTAGTATCCCTAGCCTAGCCTTTGCCTCCCGCCTGGGACACCAGAGTCCTCACCTGGCCCCGCCCGTGCCCTTACTAGGTGACCTTGAAGGGTCTCCCAACCTCCCCGAGCTTCTGTTTTTAAGGTATGAGAACTGTGACCCCCGCCCTGGATGTTGCAGAGGGTGGGAGCTCCAGGTCAGAATCCCCATCTGTGGTGCTGGGGCTCCAGCAGGTCAGGGCTGGGTGGGCCTGGGCATCTGGTAATTGTCTGTCTCCCCACCCCACCCCACCCCCGCCCACACATGGATAACACTGGGGAGGTATTCTCCCCATTTGTCAGGTGAGCAAATCAAGGCTGCGCTGCAGGGCTGCAGCTCTTCCACACTTGGGAGTGGTGGTAGTGGGTGTCCTGGGTGGGAGCCCATTCAGGTAACAGGAGAGGGCGGAGTTGGTGTGGCCATGGGAGGAGGGGGGAGGCAGGAAGAAAGGAAGGGGAAAGAGTATTTGCTGGGTTAGGGGCCAGTAGGGGGAGCAGGGTGAGTTCCTGGGTGAGTGTGGAGAGTAGTCCAGGGCTATACCCTGACCCAGACCTTACTGGCCTAAGGGGCTGGATAGGCAGCCCAGGCCCTCCAGGAGGGGGCAGGAAGGCAGCAGGATGCCTCAGAACAAGGCCTCAGGAAATCTGAGCCAGTCCATGTCAAGGGGCCCTGCCGTGTGATGGCTTGCACACCTCGCCCTCAGTTTGCCCATCCACAGGATGGGCTGGGGTTGAGCATGGGTATGCTGATGGGCCATGAGGACCCGGGGCCTGATCAAGCCTTTGCATCCTATCTCCTGCCCAGGATGCATACCGCCGCCACCCTATGAGGAAGGGGCCACAGCCTTGGCATGAAGCTGCTCCTGGCAGCCTGGCACCTGCCCCTACCGCCCAGGAGACTCCCCAGCCTGCCAGCACCCCCAGACCTCCCCGCTGCGGTGTGCCTGACCCGCCTGAAGGGCTGAGTGCCCGCAACCGACAAAAGCGGTTTGTGCTGTCAGGCGGGCGCTGGGAAAAAACGGACCTCACCTACAGGTAGGGGCCAGCGGCTATTCGAGCAGGCTCTAGACCTCTACCTGTGTGTCTGTGTGTGAACTGCCACCCTCTTCTGCTTCTTGACACATGCGCTGGAGCTAGATCTCTGTGGTTCACAGACCTGTGTGTCCACTGACCCCCGAGCCATCCGTGGACCAACTCCCTAAACCCCAACTTAGATGCACACACAGGCAACACCCTACCACAGCCAGGCCTGCCCACGGCGGAGGGGCAGTAGGTCTGTCAACATGTCAAGTCTCAGTACACAGCTGGTGGCTCCATCGACATGTGGGGCATGGCCTCAGTCACCCAGGCAACCTCTAGTGGGGACCTAGTAAGTGCCAGGCCCTGGGACTCTGCGGTAAATGAAGGAAACATGGCCTGCCCTCTCGGGGAGCTAGGCATTCACCATGTCAGTGTTCAGACCTACCATCAGTACTTGGAATCCATGCGGGTGGGAACGGTGGTGAGCGAGCAGGACAGGTCACGCTTGGAGTGACGCAGAAGCTGAGCTTCTGCAGGTGGGGAGTTGGCCGGGACAGAAAGCATGTGAAGGATGATGGTGTCACACAGATCGGAGCTCAGAAATGTCCTGGATGGGGAACTGAAACCAAGGTGGGGTCAAGGGGCCTGGGTCTCCCCACAGTGAGTGGCACAATCAGGTCTAGAAAGTGGGTCTTGGGGCTCCTGGTTCTGCATTCTTTCCACCAAATGCAGACACCTATGTGCACCAAAGGACATACAAACCCACACAAAGATGTTCCCCCGTGGAAGAGGGACCGCAGCTGAGGCCCAGAGCACACCTGGCTTGTGTCCCACGTGCATGCATCCCCACTGAGCATCCAGGGGCAACTCCTGGCCCATCAGCCAGCAGGGGGCTGTCCCAAGCGAGGCCCAGGCCCCTCCTCCTCCCCCCAGGATCCTTCGGTTCCCGTGGCAGCTGGTACGGGAGCAGGTACGGCAGACGGTGGCAGAGGCCCTACGGGTGTGGAGCGAGGTGACACCACTCACCTTCACCGAGGTGCATGAGGGCCATGCTGACATCATGATCGACTTTACCAGGTGAACCAGTGGCCTAAGACCCCGCCAGGCACCAGCCCCACCGGTCAGTAGCCACTGACTCTGCCCCACCCACCCGCAGGTACTGGCATGGGGACAACCTGCCATTTGATGGGCCTGGAGGCATCCTGGCTCATGCCTTTTTCCCCAAGACCCACCGAGAAGGAGATGTCCACTTCGACTATGACGAGACCTGGACTATCGGGAACAACCAGGGTACGGGCTGGGGACCCGTTTTCCATATGGGGCAACTGAAGATCATAACGAATGGGGACAAGTCCTTGAGCTGGGCTCTGGGGCTTGGGTGTCCTTGCGGCAGGAAGTTTGGGGATTGCTGGGTTATCTCCCTTTTTCAGGCACAGACCTCCTGCAGGTGGCGGCCCATGAATTTGGCCACGTGCTGGGACTGCAGCACACGACGGCTGCCAAGGCACTTATGTCCCCTTTCTACACCTTCCGCTACCCGCTGAGCCTCAGTCCAGATGACCGCAGGGGCATCCAGCACCTCTATGGCCAACCCCGACCAGCCCCCACCTCCAGTCCCCCAGCTGTGGGCCCGCAGGCTGGGGTGGACACTAACGAGATTGCCCCCCTGGAGGTGAGGCTCTGCTCCCAGCTCCCTGCACCCTCTGGCCTCCGTGGCTCCGATGTGGGCTCTTTCTTAGCCCTTCTCTCCCATGCCAGCCGGAAGCCCCACCAGACGCCTGCGAGATTACCTTTGATGCAGTCTCTACCATCCGTGGCGAGCTCTTCTTCTTCAAGGCGGGCTTTGTGTGGCGGCTACGTGGGGGCCGGCTGCAGCCTGGCTACCCTGCACTGGCTTCTCGTCACTGGCAGGGACTGCCCAGCCCCGTGGATGCAGCCTTGGAAGATGCCCAGGGCCACATCTGGTTCTTCCAAGGTGAGGGGGAGGGCGTTCCTGCTCAGGAGACTTCCAGGAGCCAGGAACATCATGGCCAAGGAGAGGGCCCGCCAGCCAGACATACTGGGCAGGGGGAGGGTGCCCTGAAGCCTGAGGGCCAAGGGAGAGCATGGCTCACTTCTCCAGGTGCAGCTGGGAGGCTCCCAGAGGAGATGGCTCTCAAGATGGGAGTAGAATAGAAGTATTACCAGTGGGCCATGCATCAGTGCATTCAACCCTTGAAGCCTGGGTGATTAGTATGCCTGTTCTAGAGATGAGATCTCTGGGGAGTAGATGTGGTGAAGCGACTCGCCTGAGGGCACAGTGTGGAAAAGACAGAGCAGGGATTCCATCTAGTTCTGGCAACCCCAGAGCATGTGCTGTAACTTTCAACTGGGAGAGACAAGAGCCTGGAACATTCTAGTGGCAGGGACTTCAGCAACAGAGGCCCAAGCCTGCCGTGGCACGGGTAGGGCCCAGGGACTGGTCAGAAGCACTTGTCGCAGGTAGCTAAATTCCAGGGGATGGAGTGGGGTGGGAGCTCAGGAGGCCTCCTTCCTGTCTAGAATGAAAGGTACCTCCCAGAGCACGCATCACCCCAGCTTATCCCCACTGGCTCTGACTTCCCTCTGGGGATAAAGGGTGCCGAGCAGGATTACTGGCCCAAGTGTTTTATGGACAAGGAAACCGAGGCTGGGGAAGTCTGTGGCAGTGGGGGTGGCCACATGGGTCCCCAGGGGTTGGGCACAGCAGTTGGACAGCTCCATTGCAGCCTCCCCTCTCCGGCAGGTGCTCAGTACTGGGTGTATAATGGCGAGAAGCCAGTCCTGGGCCCTGCACCCCTCTCTGAGCTGGGCCTGCTGGGGTCCCCCATCCAGGCCGCCTTGGCCTGGGGCCCCGAGAAGAACAAGATCTACTTCTTCGGAGGCGGAGACTACTGGCGCTTCCACCTCAGCACCCGCCGAGTGGACAGCCCCGTGCCCCGCCGGGCCACTGACTGGCGAGGGGTGCCCTCTGAGATCGACGCCGCCTTCCGAGATGCTGACGGTGCGTTGGGGTGGAGAGGCTGGTATGAGTGGTGCAAGAGCCACGTCTCCCACCCGGTGGTGGCTGGGCCTTAGCTCCTCATCATAGGTCCTCTGTCCAGTGCTTTCCCCATCCACCCTCCTCCTTGCGCCAGGCCAGTGCTATGCCCCCATGCTACAGATGGGAAGACTGAGGGCCAGAGTCATAACTGGTAAAATAATAACTGCTGCATGCTGAGGACCGATGATGTTCTAGGCACAATGCTAAGCTCCCTGTGTGTCTCTGGCAGTTCTCAGAACAGCCCTCTAACATAACACCTGCTACGAAGCCAGTTTCGAGAGGGGCAAACAGAGATTCAGGTGATGAGGGCCACTCAGGTGGATCATGGGGAACCAAGCCTCCCACCCAGGCAGTGCCTGCCCCTAACCACCGAACCACCTGGCTGGCCTCCCACAATCTCAAAGGACTAGAGTAGGACTGACTTGCAGTCCAGACTTTCTCCCCCGTACCCCCAAGCTTGCTTCTGTGCTCTCCCACCTCAGGACCTGCTGGCAGAGCAATCCTGTGGTGGCTCTGGGGCTCTGGGTCACCTGCATGGTCCACCTTGCCTCAGGATGTCTGTCTATAGTCTGGCTGGCAGGTACAGGAGTAGACTGACATGGGGGGGGGGCGGGGAAGGGGTGTGGTGAGGGGAGGGAGCCTTGCTTTCCCGGGTTGAGTTTCTGAGACTCCAGGCATCTGTCAAGCTGGACAACAGTCCAGCTTAGACCTGGGGGCAGGTAGGATTCTGAAGGATGGAAAGTTCTGGAATGGCCACCCTGTGGCCTGCAGGTTTCAAGGAATTCAATAGTGGTCAAGCCCTGGCAATCTGACCTCCCCCTGTGCCTGTCCCTGGGCACATCCTGACTGGCAGGTGCAGGGCCCAGTGTCTACTCACCCCAGCCTGACCCTCCTCTCTCCTCAGGCTATGCCTACTTTCTGCGCGGTCGCCTCTATTGGAAGTTCGACCCTGTGAAGGTGAAGGCCTTGGAGGGCTTCCCCCGCCTCGTGGGCCCTGACTTCTTCGGCTGTACCGAGCCTGCCAACACTTTCCACTAACCATAACTTCTCTCAGGGCTCCTGACCCCTGCCAGGCCACTGATATCGGATAGAGACCAGTGGCCATCTTTGTGGCTGTGGGCTCAGGCACAGGATAGAGCCTGTGTTTCCTCAGGGGGGTGGGGAGGGGGTGCTGTCATCTTGACAACTGCAGGGAGGGCCACGCAGGTCGTGGTCACCTGCCAGCAACTGTCTCAGACTGGGCAAGGAGACGCTGGTGTTCCTTGAGGGTGAGGGTTTTCTCAGGCCAGCCCCACTCAACCTGTGCAGGTCACAGTCAAACCCTGCTGCCCTCAGTCTCCATCCCTGTCCCTCAGGTTAGCACCTCAGCAGGGCTGGGGGAACTGAAGCCCTTATTCTGTCCCTGCTGTGAGGTCCCTGCAGGGTGCTGGCACAGGGGGGCCCTTCTGCCTTTTCCTGAGAGGTCAGCTCTGGGTAGGTGCTTGGAACTGGCTGCTTTCTAGTTGGTGATCCTAGAGATGTGTTCCCCAGGATGCAGGCCAAAAGGTCCAGAGTCAGCTGGGGGAGGGGGGTGTTTCCTGCTAGAGACCCGGGCCCTGGAAGCCCCAACATACCTCAATCCTGTCTTGGGCTAAATCCTTCCCAGCCCTCATTCCAGCACTGGGACCCTCCAAAGTCATGTAAATGTGTGTACAGTGTATACAAAGCCTTTTTTTTTTCTACTGAGGACTGTCATTAAATATGGTTATTTTCTACTTGCCTGCCTGAGTTCTTTCTGTAACTATGAGGCCAGGAGGGGAAAAGAGCTGGGGAGGTGGGAGCGGACTCAGGACCTACTCCACCCACCCACCCAAGCTTCTGGTCCTTGGGGCCAGACACAATGTGGACGGCTCCTCTTGCTCCATTCCTCCATCTTGTTTGGCTGGACACCTGGAGTGGCTGTGTAATTGATTCCAGGCTTCCCCTGCTGGCCCCTCAGGGCATCCTCCACGAAGTGGTGGTCACTTTATCTGAATATGTCCCACCCCAGCCCTGATCCTGTAATACTTTGTTTCTCACTGCTGTCAGGACACAGAACAAAACTCAATGGTTACCACAGCCGACTCCACTTAACTCTGAAGGGTGGCCTTGCCCTGCCACCAAGCCTTACCTATCACAGCTGCAATTGTGCTAGACTGAACCACGTGAAATTGTCAGCAGTGGGCCGTTTTTGATCTGCTGCCTTGTGCAGCCGGACACACGGACGCTTTGATGCTTTCATTAATGTCAGCTCCACTCCCAGCTGTAAGCTCCGCAGGGCAAGGCTATCTAGTTTCGCTCACCACCCCACAGCTGCGCCTGTTGTAGGCACAAAGTGCAGAGTTAAGGAAGGAATGGAGAAGTTTGCCTCCCTTCCAGCTCACTGATGCCCTAGCCAAACCAAACACCACCTGGGCCCTGGAATGCTGCCAAGCCTGGGGAAACTTTGCCCATGCCACTTCCCCACCCAGTGTTGTCATTCTGCCCATCTCCACAGCCGCAGGAACAGCTGTGGACCCGGAAATAGGGTATCTGTTCCTAGGATCCCTCTTTTTTTTTTTTAAGATTTATTTATTTATTTATTTGACAGAGAGCACAAGTAGGCAGAGTGGCAGGCAGAGGGAGAGGGAGAAGCAGGCTCCCCGCAAGGAGCCCGATGTGGGACTCGATCCCAGGACCCTGGGATCATGACCCGAGTCGAAGGCAGTTGCTTAACCAACTGAGCCACCCAGGCGCCCCCCTAGGATCCCTCTTATCTACTCAACTACACTGCGTTTTCCAGGTGGGGAAACTGAGGCACGGATAGCTCTGGCCTCCTACCGGCCTCAGACCTCATTTCACTCCTCCTCCACTGGACTGAGTGTCCAGCTGTGAGGCTGGGAAAACCACCGCTTGAGCCAGGGCCTCGGTTGCTATTTCTGTCCGTGAGAAGTTCTGCCCGGTACCTCCACTTGGGAAACAGCCTGGAGGAGAAACGGGTCGTGGTTCCTTTAAAGGGCCCGAAGGGGCGCGCCCCGGCCTTTTGTTTGGGCGGCGGCGGCGGCGCGCGCGTCAGCGTCAACGCCCCGCGCATGCGCGCTGACAGCGGCCTGGTCGTCGTTTGCGGCGGCGGCTGAGGACCCCGGCGGCGGCACGAGCACCGGATCGGCCCGCCCGTCGCCTCCCGGCCTCGGCTCTCCTCAGCTCGGCACGCCGCGGCTCCTCCTCAGTCCTCTCGATCCCTCGCAGCCCGGCCCCGGCCGCCCGCCTCCGCCGCCGCAATGATGATGATGGCGCTGAGCAAGACCTTCGGGCAGAAGCCCGTCAAGTTCCAGCTGGAGGACGACGGCGAGTTCTACATGATCGGCTCTGAGGTAGCCCGCGGCGCGTCCTCGCCCTCCGGCTCCCGCCCCGCGGGAGCCTCGGGGCGGGTCTGTGCGCCGGGAACGCGCGTCTCCATTCATCGCCGCGGGCGGGCGCGCGCGCGGGGTTGTAGGAAGGGGCGGGGCGGGGCCTGTCTGGCTCCGCCCCGCGCACCTCCGTGTTCAGGGCTTGCTTACTCTGTTTGCTGCCAGGGCTTAGGGCAGCGCGATGCGCCGCTGGTTCCGCCCTGAGTTGGTACAACTCCAGGCAGCCGCCGAGAAACAAGATGTTTCGGTTAGCCCCTGGAGCGCCTGGGGGAGAGATTTTGAAAGCTTCCCATGCATCCCTCTTCTGTTGCTACATCTGGGATCCTGAAATCGCAGGTTGGAAACAGGGGCTTACTGACGTCTCATCCCTCACTGTGTTGGTTATTTTTATTTACCAGTGAGGAAATAAGGAGGAGGATGCTTGCTTTTGCGTAGATAAGGCCCCAGTCCCTGAGCTAGATCAATCAGCAGTTCAGAAGAAATTGACACTTGGACTATCCTGAACTTACTCTGAATTTTGAGGGAGAGATTCTAAATATTTTCAATTCTTTATTTTATTTTTTTTTAAAGATTTTATTTATTTATTTGACAGAGAGAGACACAGCGAGAGAGGGAACACAAGCAGGGGGAGTGGGAGAGGGAGAAGCAGGCTTCCCGCAGAGCAGGGAGCCCGATGTGGGACTCCATCCCAGGACCCTGGGATCATGACCTGAGCTGAAGGCAGTCGCTTAACCAGCTGAGTCACCCAGGCGCCCAATATTTTCAATTCTTAACCAGAAGTGACAGCATTTTTTTTGAATCAGCTGGACAGCTGACTTTAGGAAAACCCTACAGTTGGTCTTTCTGTGGGAGTTTATACTAAAAACTAAGCTTTTTTCTAGATTGCCTCAAACTAGCCCTTTTTGATCCAAAAGTAATCCCAAGCTAGTGTATATTCCTTTTTTTTTTTTTTAAATTGGGGATATGCAGTTCAGATGTGCAAATACCCAAGCTGTAGAGTCTTTCCTGGGTAATGAGATAAGTGCCAATCCTGGAGAGCTAAAGCAGTTACAAGATGCCCAGGGTTGTTTCTCCTTGTAGCAGTGTTCAGTATCATATGCCAACATTTCATTCCCGTTTTTAAAATAATGGGGGATTTTTTCCTTTGCGATTGAGTATAGCATGAATGAATGGAGCCTCATGATGGTCACACTGAGGCTTTCAGGATACCCTGTGATTCCTGGCTTGTTACAATTGTATCAGGTTAGGAGACGAGTATGTCAGTAGCATCAGGAGTTTATTGTCCATTTTTCAGCAACTTTTATAAAACAAAAAGGGCAGGATTTATAAATCAGTTTTTCACATTATCACATCAGTGCTGTTCTTCAGACATAGCAGGGAGGCGGAGTCCATGCCTGTCCGTGTGCCACAGCTCAGTGACCTGTAGGAAGCGCCTAAATGCAGGATACAGGGCATTTGAGGAGTTTCCTTTGATATTGGGCACATTATTTAAAGAAGCCCTTATCTGATCTAATGGACAGGAAAAGCACTCAGTTTGGCCTTGACTGTGAGTGGATGCTACTTGAAAAGCAAGCTTTCAGTTAATAGGTGGAGTATATTGAGAGATGGGAAGAAGAAGGCCTGGTTCCAGCCCTGCTCTGCCTCCTCACTTTTCTCATGTATATGAGAGATGCTTAGACTCGATGGTCTCTAAGATCTTCCCCATAACACCTCTTAGTTTCTGGAAGGCTAATTGTAGGCTTCTTTTTCAACCCTGTTGAGTGAGAATCGTCCTGAGACCCAGTCTTTAGAAACCTAGATGGGCGAGGGGAGTGGCATCTGCTCTCTTGGGCCGGGCTGAACAGTTGTCAGATCTCTGGAGGTCTGCAAAGGATTCAAGATCAGGAGGCTGACTATTGATAACCAGTAACTCCTGTCACAGCATTGGGTAGATGGCCTCTGGGCCCCTTCCCCTTGGAAAACAGACACCATATTCAGAGAGGTTGGGTCAGCCATAGCAACAGCCCCAGGGCTGCCCTTCCTCGTCTGTGGAGCGACTCTGGGGAGGCATCTGCAGTTGCAGCAAACGTGTGTGTCCCTGTTCTCCTGCCATCTGCCGACAGCTGTGTTCACCAAGCCAGAGTCACAGAGCTGAGAGCACCCTAAGAAATCCCCAGGTTCACACCTTCGTTTTTTTTTTTTTAAGATTTGTTTACTGGGCGCCTGGGTGGCTCAGTTGGTTAAGCGACTGCCTTCGGCTCAGGTCATGATCCTGGAGTCCCAGGATCGAGTCCCGCATCGGGCTCCCTGCTGGGCAGGGAGTCTGCTTCTCCCTCTGACCCTCCCCCGTCTCATGCTCTCTCTCTCTATCTCATTCTCTCTCTCAAATAAATAAATAAAATCTTTAAAAAAAAAAAAGATTTGTTTACTTATTTTAGAGAGAGAGCACGAGCAGAGTGGAAGGTGCGGAGGGAGAGGAAGAGAGAATCTCAAGCAGACCCCCTGCTCAGCATAGAGCCGGACTCGGGACTCGATCTCACAACTCTGAGATTCTGACCTGAGCCGAAACCAGGAGTTGGACGCTTAACCGACTGCGCCACCCAGGCGCCCCAACTGTCATATTATGTTTGGGACACTTGGCGTCAAGAGAGGGTGAAGTCCAGTTTAGGGGAAAGCCAGGAAGGCAAGTCCCGGTCTCCCAAGTTCCAAAGGGGTCTTGGGAAGGATCTAGGTGTCCTGGAGCCCTACAGGACCTGCGAGGTAATGGTGGGGGGCATTGTTGTCAATTTC